ACCTTGACCCCTGCCTCCCGCTTGGCGGTTTCCTCCTCTACCGCCAACCCCCTGATCGCCCTGGAACCGGCTCCCTAAGGCCCGGCCCCCTTGGCCCTGGCCTCGTCCTCCTTGCGGCCTCCCTCCGGCCGCGACAGCAGCGTAGGATCTCCCCTGACCCACACCGCTGTCCGTCTCCTCTAATCCCCACTCAATCTGGTCGTAGGGAATCTCATCCACACTACCCTCATCTAAAGTCAGGACAAGGCTATCCTTGGTCTTTACCTGCCCTGAGATAGTGCGGCCTTTCCATTGCTTACCGCTGTCCAAGTCTGTGCCAGAAGGTAGACAGAGATACTGACTTTGCTTCAAAAGCCACCACCTCACGACTAAGGGGATCGTAAGTGGTGGCAAGGTCTTCGCTTTTCTTGAAGAACTGCACTCGAAAGGCTTCGGGCATAGCCCGGTAAAAGAGGTTGACCAACTGGCCCTCTGTGACCCCATGGTCAGGGACGGCCACCAACTCATCCATTGTACCCTTGAGTGCCCTGGCACTCTTCCATTTACGAGAACGGATGGTTTGGAGCTTGTCTGAGGCCTTGACACCGCGAGCGACATCAGCAAATCGCTCGCGCAGCAACTTCAAAAATTCGGTGAGGGACGTAAATGAGGAGTACACAACGGGATCATCACTACAGTTGGCAGCGCGAACTAGAGACCTTGCAAAACTGGCGGCCTCATCTCTCAGTGCGTGGATAGCAATTAAGACTTGCTGATCTAGGGAGACCTGTTGCAAGTGCACATAGGTCTTAACGTTGGCCTCCCAATTGTCAAAGTTTTCCTCCCTCTTCCCGCTGTAGGAATCGGGGAACTTGACTTTGACAGGCTCCCGGCGAGGAAGACGTGCTTCCTCCTCCTTGGGAGCTGCCGCCTTGACSCCTTCAATGGCGCCGGCGCAGAACCGCTCAGTCTTGTCGAGGCGATGACCCACCTCGACTCCAACGGCGCCTACCAGCTCACGAGCAAAGTCTCGAAAGCCCAACCGTATTGAGCGCACCGCTATGTCCTGGCTTCAGCTAAAGTCATATTGGTCTGCCTGAACCCCTGCTAGGCATGCAACGCTTCGAGCTATGACTCGCATCTGATTTGGGAGATCGGGCTGGGCGGCTAATTGCGCCTCTATATTCTTCACTTCCTCTAAGGCCTCTGCCGCCTCCGCTGCCTTATCAATTCTCCTCTTYTTCTCCCGCATCACCGCTAATTTCYATTCCATCCTCTTCTCGTCTTCCAACGCTTGATGTTTCAGAGGGTCTTTCTCTGCCTCCCAAGCCTTCATGGCGGCTTCTTGCTGATCCTGCGGGATGTACAT